ATATATATATATATATATATATATATATATATATATCAGGAAAAAAAGACATAAAATTCTCTTTATTCACAATTTGATTGTCTATGTAGAAAATTCTATGAAATTTAATCCTAAGAAATTTTTTTTTAAAAGCTACTAGAAATGTGTTTTGGAAGGTTGCAGGATAAAGGTCAGAATACAAAAATAAGTTGTATTTCTATTTAGTACCAATAAGCAATTACAAATTTTAAAGTATCACTTATGATATTTTTCAAAAGTATAAACTACTTAAGGATAAATTTACAAAACCTATGCAAGACTTACACTGAAAACTACAAAACACTGCTGAGAAACTAAAGATCCAAATAAACAGTGAGGTAGAAAATGTTCATGGATTGGAAGAGTTAATATTATTATGATGCCAATTCTTCCAAATTGATCTAAAGATTCAATGTAATGTCAATCAATCCCACCTGGCTTTTTTGTAGAAACTGACACACTGATTCTAAATTTATATACAAATATGAAGGGCCTAGAATTAACAAAATAATTTTGAAATAAAAGAAAACAAAGTTGAAGAACGTGTGCTACCCTGATTTCAAGACTTAATATAAAGACATTGTGTTATTGGTGTAAGTATAGACATATAAACCAATGAAACACAACAGAGAATCTAGAATACACTCATTCATACATGGTCAGTTGATTTAAAACCAAGATGCCAAGGTAGTTAAATGTAACAAAATAAGCTGGAACAATTGAATATCAATATGGAAAAAAATTAACCTCAGCCCTGACACCCCACAGCATACATAAAAACTAATCAAAATGGATCATAGGCCTAAATATAAGAGCTAAAACCATAACGTATCTGGAAGAAAACATAGGTGTTAGATAAACCTTGGGTTAGGGCAAAGATTTCTTAAACACAAAAAAATTATGAATCATGAGAAAAAAATAATAAATTGAACTTTATCAAAATAAAAAAAACTTCTGTTCTTTGAAAGATGCTGCTAAGAAAATAAAAAGGCAAGTCGCAGATTAGGAGACAATATTTGTAAAACACGTAACTTATATCTAGAATATATAATGAACTCTTGCAACTCAATAAGAATACAACCAAGCCAATTAAAAAATTGGGGAACAATGTGAACAGATACTTCACCAAAAACATATAGATGGCAAATAAACACATGAAAAAAATGTTAAACATTATTAGTCATTGGGTAAATGCAAATCAGAGTAACAAGTGAGATACCACTGCTATGATACACTCACCAGAACGGCTGAAGTTGGAAAGACTGACACTACCAAATGTTTCCAAGCATGTGGAGTAACTACAATTCCCACACACTGCCGATGGGAAGGCGAAAGGCGGAGCCACTGTGGGAAGCCAGTTGACTGTTGCTGATACAGATGAATATGCACTTACCATAAAATCCAGAAATCTCATTCCTAGGTGTATATCCTCCCAAAATACAAATATATGTCCAAGGACCTGTATTTGTAGGCAAAAGTTCATAGCAGCTTGATTCATAATAGCTCAAAGTTGGAAACAACCCAAATGTTCCTAAACTGACTGGCAAATGGAAAAGCAAATTATGGTCTATCCTTACAATAGAATATGACTCAGAAGTGAAAAAAAAAAAAGTACTGATATACTCAACACCTGAAACTCAAAAGCATTATGCTAAATCAAAGAAGCCAGAAACAAAAAAGCATGTGCAGTATGATCCATTTACATAGAAAAGGTCAAACAACAGGGACAGAAAACAGTTCAGTAGTTGCCATGAGCAGAAGAAGAGAATTAGCTGCAAAGGGGGAGGGAACATTCTGAGATGATGGAAATATTCTATATCATGATTGTGGTGTAATTATACAACTCTACACATCTGTCAAAACTCAACCAAGTATATACTTAAAATTGGTGAATTTTACTGTATATACATTATACCAGTAGCAAAACTGATTGTTTAAAAATCTGCACGATCTCTTTTCTGGTCAGACAGCTAATAACTGAGAAGACACTGTTTACCTTCCCAGTCCTCCATGTAAGGGGCCTCCTCAGCTTCTTTCTCTGGAGTGGATCTGTCAATGAACTTTCCTTCTTTCATGACCCTGGTGATTTCTCGGAGCTGATGCAGCAACTGTTTTTCTTGGTCAGAAGTCACAGTCTGTGCTCTGCTTAGAAATACCAGACAATCCAGCCAATTAGTGGTAAATACTCCCAGGCAATGAACATCAACATCACTCTGATCTGTCTGGATCCTGGAACAGGAAGTCCAACAGAGGCAGATAATTACTCTAGGAACTGAGCCTGGAACAGCACAGTTGGTAACTAGACATGTTAGATCAACGTTCTGATTTTATAAATGGGAAAACTAAGGCCCAGAAGAATAGGTCAAGTGATCGTCTAAGGTCCCAGAACGAGTTAATGTCAACACTCAGGGCAGGCCCCAGGTATCTCAGCTTTCCCTTAGTTCAGTGTTCTTTCAGCATACCTCACTGCTCTGATTCTGTCATCTCCAAGCAACTTACTGTTCCTTAACATTACTCCGTTTACTACAAGCTGCTTTTCTTTGAAGCAAGGTCATCAAAAGAAAATATGCTGGGCCATTAGCTTCAACTAGCCAAAAATATGCTACTAGGCCAACCATAGAATCACCAGGATGCATATACTTGTGCAGAAATAAAGATACATCCTAAAATTTCAGGATGGATAATTCTGATAAATTAACCAACTAGACCAGAGAAATTGTAGAAACTGAGGCCCACAGAGGGGAAATTATACATTTATTCCTACTGCTAGTTAATGTGAGCACTTCAGCTAAAACTAAAGTCTCTCCTAACTTCTGCAGGCATTCTGTGCAATTCTTAACCCCAGGGCTCAAGTTCTGCAGGTTAGAAAACCTGGGTTTGAGTCCCAACTTCAGCTAGGTGGCTCTGCACAAATGTCTGCAAAAATAAGATGAGACTCGGGGGTAATGGTATGATTATTTTCTTGGGAGGGGAGCACTGCATCACACTCATAGACAGACGAGGCCCTACTCAGAAAACTGAGAACTGTCTGCTTGGGGACCAGCTGTATCCAGTGGCAGCATTTAACAGGGACTACTCATTCTCCCCTTCAAAACCCAAAGCATCTGAAGTCAATGTAACACTCACAAGGAAAAACGATGCATTCTGAATCAGTTTCCCATGGAGGTGCCAACTATTTTTTTAATTAGCCAGTCCTTAGCCCAGCGGTTCTCAACCTTCCTAATGCCATGACCCCTTAATACAGTTCCTCATGTTGTGGTGACTCCCAACCATAAAATTATTTTCATTGCTACTCCATAGCTGTAATTTTGCTACTGTTATGAATCATAATGTAAATATCTTTTTGTTTTCCGATGGTCTTAGGCGACCCCTGTGAAAGGGTTCTTCGACCCCCAAAGGGGTCGCGACCCACAGGTGGAGAACCGCTGCACCTGTGTTCCTTTTTATGCTTAGCCTACCAAACTTTAGCCTTAATGACCAACGGGAAAAGAAAAAAGGGTTTCTCCCTCCCACATGATGGTAACTGAGGAAAGCAAAGGTGCACCATTTCCACAATCCTCAGGGGAAAGAAAAAACACCACCAGCTCCATAACCTCCACACTAAGTGGCCTCAAAGCCACGAACTGAAGAAGCCTGTCTGTTCCTCCATCAGGTAAAATCTTACACTTACTGGGCCTCTTATAGCTCTACTCTTCCCATAGTACCAGAGTCCTGACTTGCCATAACTGCTCATCTGCTCTATGAACCCCTAGTTCTTACAACAGCCTACTTTGTGGGGGGCTCCTGAGGCAGTTATGTCACCCCTAGCTAAAAGGGCCTACGTGCTTAGCACAAAGCTCTTGCCCTCGGACTGCCCACGTTATGTCTCCTGACTACTCAGTGTATTCTGATTTTTACTGAATGAAACAGTCTGGATTCTGTTTCTTAACTCATGGAAAATCAGAACCCCGATTAAAACAAGGGGTGGCTAGGAGAAGCAGAAACCGACAAGAGCAACTTTCTCAGAGGATTCCAAACTAAAGCATCCTCTTTTATGTCTGAACAAGTGTACTCATATTGTCCATATCATGCATCAGGCAAATCACGGCCCACACTAGGATATCTTCTGAATTTATCACAATGAACATTTTCATAGATTCCTTATGGTCTCAACTTGGTTTCATGCTCCTGGAGCGCAGTGATAAACATATCACGACTATACAGGCAGAGTGCCATGAACACTGGTTTGATTCGTCCCCATTTCCTCACCATCGATTTTCTTCCGCCTCCCTGAAATCAGGCTTCTACACCATCATTTTACCAAAACTCGTGAAAACTCATAAATGACTACTTTACTCGCAAGTCCAAAAGTCTTTTCCTCACATTCTTCTCAACTCCTCTGTGCTGTGGACCATCCTCTCCTTGAAACGTCCTTCTCCCCGGCTATTGAGACATTTGCGTTCTTCCCTCTTCTTTAACCATTCCTCTCATCTCTGATCATGGCTCGCTTTCCTCCTCCCACCTCCGGAAACATGGTTTTCCTGAAGGCTCAATCCTAGGACTCTTACAATCGTGTCCTCAGGAAGCTGACCCAGTATCACAAATTAAACCATCACCTCTACGCAAATGATGCCAAAACTCTACCTCTACTCTTGACTTTTCACACAAAGCCAGTCCCATTATTCCAGTTATCTCCTGCGCACTTCCACTTGGATGCCTTGCCACTACACTGAGGTTAACCTTAAATTCACCCTTCAAAACTAGGTCCTGGTTGGGCCCAGGATCATGAGCAGCTGCATGAGCAGTCAGGCTAGGACAGGTTGGGTATGGCAGGCTCCAAGATGCTAGAAAAACAGAAGGTCAAGTTGGGCGATAACTTCACCCAATTTTTGAATGCTATAAATCCAGACAAATCATCAAGTTCTGAATCCAAGAGTGAAGCACAGAGAGAATGAAACAGTGTCTAAGCACACCCTTCATGCTGCGAACAGGATTCAGACTAGCAGAAGACTGAAGGCTACGGCTGCCCAGTACAGTGTGCCTCAAGGATTGGGTATCTCATCCTTCCCCAAGGCCCTTACCTCTTAAGCCCAGCCAAATGACCTCCAGATCTGAGGCCTTTATTCTGACCTCAATATCCAAAGTTCCTACTGCTGTTAAACACTATACATGGATGTTCTGTGGGCACTTCAACCATATTCAAAGCTGAACTCATGATCCTTATCCCAAGCCTTATCTTCTTTCTCCTCTTTTGTGTTTTTATCTTGGTCGATGCCATAATTTTCCTTCCAGTTTGGGCTGTAAATCTCCAACTCATCTTTATCTCCTTTTTCCTCTTCATTGTCCTATCTAGTTAGTTTTCTCCTTTAGGGAACCAACCCCTCTTCCCCTCACAGTACAAAGGTTAGGGTGAAGCCATCCATCCCCTCACTTCTCTTTCAAGGGTGGCCATGTGGCCCATGGCCAATCATCACACTTCATCACGTTGGCTGAGTGATCGATTCAGTGATATACACGTATATACAAGACCCAAGTTGGGCCAAGTGTGCTTTCTCCTAAAACTGGATACTGAATCTAGTGAAGCCTGATCTGAAAACTTTTCATATTAACTCTTCCTGGTAGCAGTCCCTGAAGAGACTGTCCATTTGTTCCTGTCCCTAAATCTCAAGCTGCTCTAGTTCCCACTCTTCCTGAAACCTGAATCTTTAGCTATTCCTCTGATATTGTGAGCTATCCCACATTCTTCCAATAAACTCTGCCGTCCCTTCCAAATATATGCTATCCAGACTGGCTGCTTGCAACCAAGGAATCCTGATAACAGTCTGCGGTTTTTTTCCTCCACGAAGTCCCCTTAATTTAGCCCTTCTTTTCCCCCCTCACAGGCATATTTGTTACCTTCTGCTAGAACTTTTTAAATAACCTAACATGCAGCCACTCTACATATCAATGTAAGAGTTATTTTTTGAAAGCACAGCAAATCATGACACTTCTCAATAGCCTTTAGTGGCACCCCACTATAAGGACTACGAATTCCAACCTTCTCAGCCTGCCATTCAGGGCTTTCCAGTCTGGCCCAGTTTACTTTTCTGTTTTTTGGTTTGTTTTTCTCCCATTCCCTCCCTCTACTCATTTACTCCACCCCTGGCCTACTCCACTCTAGTTACTTGGGACTACTTGCTGTTCCAAAAACATGACTTGACTTTCTCACCTTGTTGCTGCTTGTGCTGTCCTTTCCCTCTGAAACGTTCTCCAAATTCTGCCTGAGGAAATACTTCCCCCTTGGAAGGCTTATTCAGATTCCCCCTTTTCCATAAGACCTTCTGTGGTAGGCAGACTAATAGCCCCCACCCCCCAAAGATGCCCACATCCTAATCCCTGGAACCTATAATTAATTATGTTACCTTATGTGTCAGGAGATTTAAGGCTGCAGATGGAATTAAGGATGTTAATCAGATGGACTTAAAATAGATTATCCTGGATTATCTGGGAGGGCACCATGTAATTACAAAAGTTCTTAAAAGAGGAAGAGGTCAGAGTAATATGGTGTGAGACGGTCCTAACTCACTATTGCTGGCTTTGAACATGGAGGAAAGGGTCCATGAGCCAAGGACCCTTTTAAAATCTGAAAAAGGCAAGGAAACAGATTCTCCACCAGAGCCTCCAGAAGGAAATGCAATCCTGCCAACACCTTGATTTTAGCCCAGTGTAGGGCTTCTAACATACAGAACTGTAAGATAATAAATGAGGGATGTTTTTGTAGTTCATTACAGCAGCCAAAGAAAACTAATACACATTCCTGGAGTACACTTTCTCTGAGATGCAGCTCCTTATAGAGAAATAATACCTTCATTGACAGCCATGTAGGGCTGGACAGACCAAATCAAAATAGGCACCAAAGGGACCGGCCAAGTGGCTCAGTTGGTTAAGAGCACAAGCTCTGAGCATCAGGGTCGCTGGTTCAATTCCCACATGGGCCAGTGAGCTGCGCCCAAGCTGAGCTGATGCTGAGCTGCCAACAGGTGGCAGGATGGCTCAGCTGGTAAGAGCACGTGCAAGTGTACAGGTATTTTAGAGGAACAATGAATAGTCAGTGTGGCTGGACCACAGACAGACGGAGTGATGGAGAAAGAGAAAGCAATAGCGGGACCCAGGGCTACGTAAGCCATGGTTAAGATTCTGCGCTTTGTCAAGAGCAACAAGGACCTGTTGAAGGGTTAAAACAAAAAAATATAATCCATGTGTTTGAAAAGCAAAAGTGAGTTGAAGGGAGGCAAAATTAGAGAAAAAGAAACCATGAGACAGTTCTGACCTAAGTCAAAAGTAAAAGCATTCATTTACTCATTCACTCCTTTTTTCTTCTGTTTCAACTAATACTTTTTTTCAGAGCCTCTATGGGCCTATGCTAGACTCTGGGAATAATCCCTCCCTAGGAGAGCTTAGAGTCTTTTTCAGGGAGACAGACTTATTAATTAGGAAGAAATGACAAGACACGGCGATTGATGAGATATGGGAAGTGAAAGAAAAGGTAAATCTAATGACTTCTCATTTCTGCCTAGGGCAACACATGGTGAAGCCACCTGCTGAGGAGGAACAATAAAGGCAGGGTAAGTTTTGCTGGGAGTAGATTATGAATTCCATTTTGGACATTCATTCATTCAAGAGACATTTTTCATTTGTTGGGGATAAGGGTAGGGATCTATGAGATATATCCAGTAAGACCCTGAATATAGAGGTCAGGATATGAAGAGAAGAATCTCAATAATAGCCATGACTTACTCTTCCACCATGATAATATGTGCAAATGCTTGTATCAAAGTCAATGTCCTTTTTCAACAGTATTTAGTATCTACTATGTGAACACAGTGAACAAAACTGCCTAAGCCTGTCCTCAGAGTTCATATCCCAACCTGCAGCTGGACTTGTGCCATCTCATTGTTTCTGGGGCCACAGGTCCTGACTCGCAACATGTATTCCTCATAAGATGCCGCAGTGTGGACTCTTTGCAGCTTGCTGCATGGCGACAGTCGTGTAAAACATTTTCCACAGTCTCTCAGGAATTGGGGAGCAGTCCCTTTTCTCCTGAAGAGAGCATAGCTTGTGGTTCTCTTTCCCATACCTCTCATTTCCCAGGCATAACGATGTGACTTCCTCTCTGACGCTCCTAGATCCAACTCCTTTTATCCTTATGGATGGGCCCTATGGGACTTCAACCCTGAAAGCTGCCAGGGCTATGTAGCCTCATGTTTTTATATTGTTTTCTTTTTACACTTATATCTTTTACCCTCGGCTTTTGTGGCATTTGTTCTTCTACAAGTCTGTGCTTTTATGATTATTAGAAGAGCCCAAAATACCCAAGTATTTTTTCTGTCAGTTCAAAATTTTATCACGTCTCCATGCTTCTGGGGGTAAAAGAGAGGATTTAAGACAAAGAAAATGTGTTCATTTATAGCCTTCTAAGTCCTTTTATATAATACGTACTCCATAACTGCAAGATGTTGCTTAAAATTTCAGAAACACTCAGTTTCTGAAATTTCATCTTAATGTTTTTGTAATAATCAAAATATCAAAAGGTTTTTAATGTTATCCAATAAAACTTCACAGCTTTCACCTGTGGGCAGTATATGTCTGTACACATGTTGAAATGATGAAGCCTCTTGAAAGGTTAATAATGCCATGTTATATCTGATATTAAGCACAATAGCCAGCCCAAGGACACAAAGATTAAGGACAGGATCTACGAAGCAGAATCGAGGTGTCCTTATTTATGGCCTCATGATCAGTAAAATTTCCTTCCTAGAGCAGCATGTCTAGTTGTAATTCTTGTTCACCTCCTACAAGCCTGGCATGGCCTGAGGGGAGAAGTAAGAGTGCAGCCTTTGGAGACTGACAGCCCTGATGGCATGTTGAGAGTGCAGCCTTCCGACGTCCATGTTTTCTTGGTTGTTGCCTACTTCCATCAACCTCCTGAAGCTCCCTTGGGAGAACCAGGCCAGCCCTGTACCAAGAGGCATGAGTCTTCCCTGCAGGGCATCCTAGGAGGCGAGGCTGGCTCCTGACACCAACTTCCCGTGTCTACTTCGCTCCGGCACAGTCAGCACAACACACAGATGCCTGACCTGGTCATACTCGCTCTGTTCTCGCGTTTTGTCTCACATAGAGAGCATAATGTGTAATAATCTGGTTTTACTTAAAATTATGTCTTTTTTAGAGAGCCAGGAAATTTAAAAAATATATATTTTTAAAAGCTAGTTATTTCACTCTGAAGGACTTGCTCACAAATTTACTCACAATACTGTTTATAACACTGAACATACAAGGTCGGATAATTAAGTTCGAGAACTCATCCTAGAAAAAGTGCTACATCCCTCATTGCTGAATATCACTATGGTCACCTTCGAAGTACTCCCCTTGGGAAGCTATGCACCGATGCCAGTGCCTAGTCCACCCTTTAAAGCAATTTTGGAACTTTTTTTTTTGGAATGGCCATCAGAGCTGTTGTCGTATTACCCTTGATGTCCTGAATGTCATCAAAATGTCTTCCTTTCAATATTTCCTTTATCTTCGGGTAAAGAAAGAAGTCATTGGGGGCCAGATGAGGTGAGTAGGGAGGGTGTTCAAATAGTTATTTATTTCCTGGATAAAAACTCCCTCACAGACAGTGCCATGTGAGCTGGTGCATTGTCGTGATGCAAGAGCCATGAATTGTTGGTGAAAAGTTCAGGTCGTCTAACTTTTTCACGCAGCCTTTTCAGCACTTCCAAATGGTAAACTTGGTTAAGTATTTGTCCAGTTGGTATAAATTCATAATGAATAATCCCTCTGATATCAAAAAAGGTTAGCATCATCGTTGCAACAAGTTTGCAAACTTAATTGTCAGACCTTGTATGCACTTGAAAACTGAGTTTGCTCGATAGCATGAAAATGGAAATGTTACGTGAGAAACAATATGCAAATGACAAGTTGACAGCTATATAAAATGAAAGTAAGTGGCCCAGAAATCAAAGAAAAACAAATTTTTGAACTGCTTCTCTAAATGGGAAATAGTCTGAGTCCTGAAAACCTACCTTTCACCATTAGGTCCCACTCTGTTGATTAATTTTTCCATGGCTTCCTCTGTTTCCTTCAGTTTTTCTTGCAGTTGAATAAGCTCAAAATTGGCTGAAAAACAAGCATCAATCTAAGAACCATCATACACAACTCCCTAAGCTCTTTTCTGAAACATGGCTGGCTGTGACACTCTACAGTAATCCAGGCTAGTCCTGAGATTCAGAGAAGACTAAGAGTCTCTCCAGCTAATCCAATCAGGATATAAAGGGTACTGCAGTCTGCACACCAAGATCTAAAGGATACATGTTTAATGAGTGATGAACAAATCACTCTCTTATATACAGAAATACAGCAGGACAAGCTAAGAAAATACCTAGGAAGAAAAGCATACACAGTCACCCAAGAAGAAATGAAGAAGATAAAGATACCCAAATATAATTAATAGTCAATGTTATATCCATTTCAGATGTACAACATAGTTATTCAACATTAATATACCTAACGAAGTGATTACCACGTTTTGTTTAGTAACATTCTGCCATCATACAAGATGATGATATTGTTGACTATACTCCTTATGCTGTACACTACATCCGTGTACTTATTTTATAACTGGAAATCTGTACCTCTTAGTTACCTTCATCTTTTTTGCCCTTCCCCCCACCCCCTTCCCCTCTGACAACCATCAGTTGTTGCCTGTGTCTGTGAAACTGTTTGTTTTGTTTGTTTACTTTTTAGATTCCACATATAAGTAAAATCATACAATATTTGTCTTTCTCTGACTTATTTCACTTAGTATAATACCCTCTAGGTCCACTGATGTTGTCACAAGTGGCAAGATTTCATTCTTTTTTATTCCTTTGTATATATGTACCACATCTTCTTCATCCATTCATCTATTGATGGACACTTAAGTTGCTTGGCTATTCTAATCCAAATGCTGCTTGGGGTTAAAGTACCAAACCTGTAAGGTACTTTAGAAAAGGAGTTAAGACCCTGAAATGAGCAATGTTTCACCTACACCTAAGGCTGAAAACGTATCTGGAAGGTAATAGTTTAAATGTTATACTTCTTCAATAGAGGATGTTTTGAACTAGGGATGACACCTCCCTGCCCAAGGTTTTCTGCCTGAGTCATGTGGAGTGAAGTGATGTAACTCTGTCTCCCAGAAGTAGTTTCATTAACAAGGGTCAATACAGAGCACATCTAGCTACTAAAACTAACATTAAGACCCTAAAAGTAGAACAGAAAAAATAAATCACTAAATCAGTAATCAAATGAACTTTAAAGCAGTAGGAAAATATGGTTCATTATGTAGATAATCCAGTTTTTCTGTTTCATACTCAGGTACCATTCTACCCAGATATATTTAAAGGGTCCTTGTAAATGTAATATTTCAAAGACCTTTTACTACTTCTGGAATAAATTCTTATTCATGCAGCTAACATCTGCAACGTGTCTAGGGGGCAGTGCCACATAAATGCTTAAGTTATTTTTATTTTCTGCATGATTCAGAATTGAAGGAGAAGACGCGGATGTAGCTGCTACTACATTATAAAACAGCTGCTCTTAGGAATTCATTTTATTTACTGCTTTCTGTTTTAAATGCATTATGTGACAGGATACAGAATTTGTTCCTCTTTAAAGAGTCCACAAATCTTTTAAAAGTTATTTTACTGATGCATTTACCATCACTGTTAGACACTATCTCCATTAAGAGCACAGCAGCTTTCTTCAAGAATTCCCTGAATAAGATTTCCAAAAAGGATGCAGAATGTGACTGGAATATCTATTTCCACAGAGAATCCGGAGTAAATCCAAAAAGCAATTATGGCCACGGGCAGATGCTTCCGCGGTCCTGCCTCACTTCATTTTGCTGATTTTTTTTAAGACTCTGATGAGGCTTCATTATCCACAGGATAAAGCAGTTTCGCCTCCAAGGCCTTCAATAACATGGCTTAACCTACCTCCTCTTCAGGCCTTCTTTCCCACAGCTGCCCTATGTCAGGCTGTGTATCATTCAATCCATCCCATCTATCTGACCGGTCCTCCTCAACTGACACCCAGCTAGAAGTGATTAACCATAGGCTTTTGTCAAATCCTTTCTTTCTAGATAGTAAACTTTTCACAAGTTATTTTTCCTGACATCCATCCTAGACTATAAATTCTTAAGAGAGAAGAGCCATGCCATACACATTTCATTTCCCCAGAGAGCACAGAATATTCTAGTTGGATAGTAAATATTTGATGATCATGTTTCAAGAGCCAGAAGTGTTAAACTCTCTCCCTAGATCTAATAACTGACTTTGGCAATGACTTCATCTCTCTGCCTCACTTTTCCTCTCTGTGAAATAAAGATATTAGCTACCAATATTCTGAAGTCTGAAAATGAGAAGGAACACATTCCAAATGTGAAATGTTAATTTGCTAACATATAAAAAAGTAAACTGGCAGTTTTGTACCTTTTGTGACTATCTTTTCCTTAAAAGTCCAACATCAATATAGAAACTTCTCAGAACTCTCAGAGCTAAGGTTAAAAGTGACATCCAATTAATTTGGGGTAAGTTTTGAGAAATGCACTTAAGGCATAGCCACAGATTGTCCCTCTGGCTGTATTATAGCTGTCTGACACAATAAAACGTGTGACCAAACTTGAAAGGGGCACTCACTAATTTTCCTGTGGGTGTTTCCAGGTGTAGCGGTAGAGCATTTCCGATCCTCTGCAGTTTTTCCCTTTGAAAGCTGAGAATTGAAGGAGGTACAGCACGTCAACAGCAGCTCAGAACCGCAAAGTCAAGGAACCCCTCATATTAAATGAAAAAAAAAAAAGAAAGAAAGAAAAAAAGAAAAGGTTGGGAGACAAAAATTAAACCAGAAAACCAATCAAATAGCAACATTAGAGAAACATCTCAAAACAAAACACAAAACATAAGCAAACAAAAAAAAGCCAATGGAAGGTTTCCAGGTAAAAAATTATGAAGGTACAAGGGAAAAAAATCCCTCTATATGTCATCTGCCTTGCCCATGCTCATCAAAGACTCAAGTTGGGCTGCCTGCAGAATTCCTGGGCAAGAAGAACTCGCCTCACTCTAGTTAGAAGGGCAAAGTGAAGCCCCTGCCTCCACTCACAGACCTAGGCCCATGGCCTGGCAAAGCCTGCCTGGAGGTGGAACTTAATTAGGAGTCTGATTATAAAAGACCCAAACCACATCTCCCTGGAGCTAGGAAATCTTAGGCTTAGTTTCAGGACGTGGCAATTGTTTCAGGAGAACTACTGGACATGATGTTAAAAACAGCACCTCATACTCCTGCGGGGAAAAGGACAAAGTGATGTTGATACCAGTCATTGTCTGGCCTCACTGTGGCTACCTGGAAATCACTGTGCCGATCCTAATAATAAAGCTCTTCTTGGAACAGCTTCATGCCTTTTCAGTAAAAAAATACGCCCAGTCAAAAAATAAAAAAACAGAAAGAATGGGGGGAGGCCCTTTGAACTTGATTGCTAACTAGATTAAGAACTAGGAGATCCAGGTTCAAGTCCTGGTTCTGCAGTTTAAGTTGTGAATTCTGAGGCAAATCATTTAAGCTCCAAGTGAAGACTTTCTCATCTGTAAAACTGAGATAACATCTATCTTATGTACCTTACGAAGAGGAGGCAAGGTTTAAAGAGATGATCGATTTTAAAAAGGGTTATGAACTGTAAAGGGTTTGAATACTGAAAATGATTTGTATTACAATGATATCAGATTGTCATTGATGTAACATGACCAAGATGATTCCACTTACCTTAAACAGAATGTACAGTATATACAAAAAAATCCCAAAACCATAGATTGGAATAATCTGCCCCATCAGGCCTCTTCCACTACCTCCTCCTCCTCCTCCAGTGCCTCCGCCTGATCCTTTGGCCTTTGCAAAGGCCTCTGCAAGGTGAGACCTCTGGAAACGAGCCCCAGGGGTCTGGCCATCTGAGGGTGCCTGGTGCTGATGCATCATGGGTGGAAATCGACCCAACTTTCCTAAGAAAATAAATTAATCAGTCTTTATTTCTTCTACTCTTTTAAATATGACTATTGAAAATCCCTCATGCATTGACATACAAATAAAAGAAGTCAAGTCAAAAAAGTTTAATGAAAAACAGGACCTTGATTATAAGAATACAGAGGTATCACACAGATAATATGATACGGCAATTTCTAGCTGTTCGCCAAACCCATTTTTTCTCTTCCTTTTGGGTCCACAGCTAGACAACGTTTTCCAGCTTCCCATCCAGTGAAATGTGACTATGTGACTGAGTTCCAGCCAAAGGAATCTGGGAAAATACACTGGTTCAAGGCCTGGCCTATAAAACTTCCCACATATTGAACTTCATGTTCATTTCCCTTCTGCAGGCTGGATGCTGACACCTCGGAAGACCCTAAAAGTCAAGTGTTAAAAATGGCAGCGCCTCCATCAACCTGGGGTCCTGAATAATTGTGTGGCACAGAGCCCTTCACTGCTGCTACCCCACCAACTCAGAACCATCTGGACGTGTTTATGTGAGGAGAAATAAACTTCTATTGTGTTAAGGCCATTATATACTTTGGAGTCTGTTACAGCAGTTAGCCACCCCTAACTAATACAGACAAGGAAATGCAATCTGGTCTCAGTGGAGAGTGGAGCTGGAAACTGGAAAGCCATCAGAATCCAGGACAGCTACTCTCACATTCTATCTCATCTTTCTCCCTCTCTATGGGGCCATAAGGCTTTTTTTCTTTGTGTCTCTGTGTATATCGTCTTTATTCTCCTTTCTCTGCAGACCATTTCTTTAGCTTCTTTGCGAAATGGGGGAAGATGGTCATCCCCAAACTCCTCCTTTGCATGTCCTTCAAGGGGTCAGCAGAGATTGGTCATAATTCCAAATTCCTTGGAGGAAGATTTTAAATCCTCAGCTCGCGTAGGTATGCATCCGTTTCTACTCAGCTGTAGTTGAGCAGACAGGATTCGCATAGTACAAACAGGGTCACAGGGGCCCATCCTGTGAGTGAAAGGCAGGACTTAGAGAAAGGACAGTGCATTGGTGCTCTTGCATTTTTTCCCTCCATCAGAAGCAGCCAAACATTAACACAACTGCCAAGCCTACTGAGAGCCAGAGGTGAGAAACAAAGGGAAGACATCTCTTCAAAAGGCCATGCAAACGGGCCTGTGCAGAAAAACCACAGGGGGATAAAATTGTAGGGCAGAAAACACTAGAGAGCAGAAAGGCTTCACAAGTCAGGCTCTAAAAATACAAAATATACAGTGAAAAACTGTTGGATTTGACTTCAACAAAATTACAGATTTCTGTTCAATAAAGAATACCATGAACACAGTTAAGATAGATGACAGGCAAGGAAAGGCTTTTGCAACATCTAAAAATGACAAGGGATTAAATACCTAGAATGGACAAGAAATTCCTACAATTGATATGAACATCACAGGAAACCCAATAGAAACATGGTCAAAAGATATGAGTAAGAACTCAAAGAAAGAAAGGCTTGAAAGATTTTTTTAAAAAGTATGTAAAGTGATGATCAAAGTAAAACCAATGAGTAAAATATAAAACAATCCAATAGCACTTATACCTATCAGAAGGGAAAAAATGAGAATGGTGGATAACAGCAAGATTGCTTCCCATAACTGGAAAGAGGCGGGGAGGAGAGAAGTCACAGGCACTGTGGGTGAGTCTAAACCAACACAGCCATTCTGCCAAGTCATGTGTCTGTACTTAGTGACGCTAAGTATGCCTATGCCCTGTGATCCAGTGATCCCACTCAGGTGGATAAATTCCAAAGAAGTTCTCAAATAAGGCTGTCTATACCCAAATCTGAATTATAGACTTTATAGACCCGTGTGAGAATGTGTGCTGTGATGATGTGGTAGGAGGGAGCTTGAAGAAACTTCGCTTTCCATAACTGGATGAACAAAAAATCAATATGGAGTAGATACAAACATGGAATTCTATGTAGCTTTTAGAAATCACACTTTAGATATACCTACAGCAACATGAGTATATCTTTAAAAGCACAGCATTGAGTAAAAAAATAAGCAAATACCATCATGCAGGCTGAAGACACGCATAATTATACTACATATCTTTTCAAGCAAATGGGTAGAGGTATAAGGTCATAAAACAAATATTATTAGAATGGGTGCATATGAATGTGGAAGGGAATGGGCACGTGGATCTAAGACAAAGGGTTAAAAAGAAAAGAACGAAACAAGAAAGGAGCCCTGTACTGATGATGTTAATAAGATGCTATGAACTAAAGACTATCTTTAAGTCAAGTCTGCTCCTGAGGTAAGAAAGAAGGCAGTGGACAGGCGGCGAGGTGAGACAGCTAGCCTCTGGACCTGAGAGCTGCCTTCTGCCTTGAATCCTCTCTCAGGCAAGCTCCACTCCTCTTGTTCCTGATCCTATTTTCTATGATACGGAAATTATGGGAAGAATGCTTCTTTTAAAGAGAAGGTCATCAACAGAAGTACTCATACAGCGTCAGACAGAAGCAAGTCAGATCACCACTCCTTATTCTGGGTACTGGTTACTATTCTGCTGTTAAATTGTCAAGGATCTTCATATATTAAGTGGTGAGTATTGGCTTTAAGGTTATAATGCACCTTAAAAAAAAATGCCTAGCCAGCATTCAAGGAGCTAACCTTTCTCTTGAGAGAAATCAGATATATTGGGTGGCTAGTTGTTTACTAAATTAGATTCAATATTTGTAGTAATATTTTGAACTTCATTTTACTGTACTGACAACACTATCTTCAAAATTTGGCATAAAACAAAAAATTAAAACCTGGTAATGGCACAAAAAGCATTATTTTGCATTTCTAAGACTAAAAAAGGATGATGATGATAAAGATTACACATCTCCCCCCAAAACTTTTACAGATCTGTCAGCCAGGAAGATTTATTGGATAGCTATTATGTTCAGCACTCTGTGCTATAGGTACGGAAGGAGGAAAGCCATAAATGAGATAGAAACAATAGTTCCCACATGGAATGGTGCTTTTAAAAAGTAGCATATCCAAAACAAACAACAAAAAGAGCAGGGTATTCCTAAAAGATCAGGTCCCAATCTATTTAATAAAATAAACTATTTTTTTAAAAAGGTAAGGTACCACAGACCTTATTACTAGACAAACTAAACAGGCATTAAAAGAACGCAAAAAGAAAAAAAGAAGAGTCAAATGAGGTAATGAGACTCAGAATAGCAGAGGCAAAGACACACCAGGATGAAAGAAAAGTGTGTGCAACGAGGAAGAGATGAGAACAAACAAAGAATAAATAAGGCTAACTACCAAATTAGTTTGGCTCCATTTAGGGAAGTAATAAGAGAGAAGGGAGGGAAGTGGAGGTGGCTATTTAAATGCTAACTTGTGGTGTATAAATTTGATACTGTGGGTCTAGGACCAGGGAAATGACTTAATGAGAAAGGTGTTTGAGGGGGTTGATCCAGTAGTTGAGCACAGGGCCTGCCAAACATGGAGAGAAATTAGGGTCTGGGAAATTAGCAAGAAAGCAGTACTTCAGTTCTGAGACACAATGGCCTGAGGTGCTGGCTACAGCTATAATATAAAGACGAAAGCACAGGTCCAAGGGCTCTTACACGTACACAATGATCGGCAGCATGTAATACTGAAAAGAATATAGAGCTGATGGGAGACGGGGTCAGAAAACTCCAAGGTCGGGAGTTTGAGATACTGGCAGAAGACAACGAGGAAGCCGGGAGAGCTCATGATGAGGGGCAGACTGAGTACACATTTTCACACCGTACATTCAGAAGAAATTGTTATTAGCCTATAGCTTGGCTTGAGAAGAGACTCTAAGCTACCTAAATGACAAAGCTAATTAAAATTAGGTGAGTGCATGGTTCCCATACCAAAAAGGCTGGAGGGATTAGTGTACTTATTTGCAAAAAGAGGAAGAAAACTGAGTTGGTCAAAGAGGACCAGAAACAAACCAGTATGATCAAAGTCAAAGGAAGATGGACTTGAAAGCAACTGAGACGTCTGGAAGAAAAGACTAACAGTAATCCCTGTTTTCAGACACAATGTATTCTTGAGAAAAGGGTGGCCATCACATGAAACCCTGACTGCCTACCTGTTGAGACAATGACAGAAACAAGTGTACTATAAAGCATTATAGAATCTTCAGGGTCAGAAGGAGCCTTCAAAGTCAGTCAGTCTTTCAACAAATGGTATGGAGACAAATATTGGGTTGTCGGAAAAGTCATAACGCATTTTTGCAACGAAAAACAAAAAAAATACGTCATGACTTTCCAGCAACCCAATAGATATCCACATGCAAAAGGATGAAGTATACACCATATCAAATTTAAAAATTAACTCAATGTGCAACCCAATCTCCCTCCACCTTATAAGAAAAAAAAAATTAACTCAAAATGTATCAAAGACTTAATTAAATGTAAGAGCTAAAACTATAAAACTCTTAGAGGAAAACACAGACATAAATTATGACTTTGGATTAGGCAATGGTTTCTTTCATATGATACCAAAAGCATAAGCAACCAAAGAAAAAAATACGTGAATCAGACTATGAATTTTAAGAGTTTTGTGCTGCAAACGACACCATAAAGAAAGTGAAGACAACCCAGTGAATAGGAGAAAATATTTGCAAATCATATATCTGATAAGTGTCTAATATCCAAAAAATATAAGGAACTCTTATCACTCAACAAAAATAACCCAATTAAAACTGGCCAAAAACTCTTAACAGAGATTTCTCCAAAGTATATAAATGACCAATAAACACATGAAAAAATGTTCAACACCACCAGCCATCAAGGAAATGCAAATTATACCCACAATGAGATACCATTTTATACCCACTAGGATGCTATAATCAAAAATATATAATAAGGGCCAGCGGAGTGGCATGCTGGTTAAGAGTTGGCTTGGGACGCCAGCTCTGAGCAGCAAGGCTGCCGGTTCGGATCCCACATTAGGGCCAGTGACGCTACGCCCTCTACAGCTA